TATAAATAGCTGTAAGCCCGGTCACACCATTAATACTGGTGCACCCATTCACTGGATCAGCCCTATAAATATCCCTGGTATAAAATTTTGAACCATTACAGGGACCCCCCATAACCATACCGTACTCTTGTTCCTGTAAATCACCTAGCACAATAAATAAATAAATATTATTATTATTATTATTAATATTTATAATTATTTTAATTGTATGATTTATTTAATAATAATTACCATTAATATACGTATAATAGGCGGTGACCAAGGCGATATTAATCGAAATTAGTGAACCATTTGATACAGTAGCAGTAACAGGCACAGTTATAACAGTTGGTGTCATAACAAGTCCATTGCATGTTATTAGTACTGTCGGTGTACCTTGCACAGTTATTTGGCTTATATTTAGGGCACTAGTGTTTGAGCTAGTGCATATAAATAACTCAAATAATGTCTCGTTTGTTTGTACAAATGGTGTAAATGCTGTGGATGCTAATAAATGAGTAAGATCATTGTTATACGGTATATAAATATTTTATATAAATCTAAATGTTAGAATATTTTTAATAAGTAGACTACAAACCATTATATGAATTAACGTTAACAATAATTATCAAGATTATTAGTTTAAAATATTTATGCATTATATAATATTATATTATACAGTACGGTATGTTAATATAGCTTATATAATAATAACCTTTTAATATAAATTATATATATATTAAATAATTATATATATATAAACATTTAAATAGTATTATGATTCTGTAGTACATAATAGTTAAATATCGTTATATTATTTTTATTCGTATAGTTATTGTTATATTTTTCATAAACAAATATAATTAATGCATCTGTAGTTTGTAATTAATAACAATAGATTATTTATTATTGTAATTAACAACAATGAATTAGTAATTTGTTAGGCATAACAGTTCACAAAAATGTGTTACAGTATGTCTGAATACAATGTTCTATTAAATTTTATCAGGAACAATTTTTAAAAATTGCTAAAATAAGTGATAGTTTCAAATGTTGCCAATCTATTGTGAACTCAGTCTAAATTTTGTTTTTAACAATACATAATAATTTGCTATTTATATTATTAAAAACAATTATTATACTTTATATTTTTGCTAGTAATATTATATAATAATTTGTGTTAAATTAATTAATATAACTTTTATTCATAAAAATATTTTATAAAATAAGTTTGTACATTGATAATGTACAGTATATTGATAATGTATACAATACTAATAATGTATAAACATTAAACATATTAAATAAAAATAAAAATTTAAAAATAAACACATTCATAATAAATGAATATTAATTACACAAAAAAATAATATTAATTAAATTCAAATAAATTAAATTATTTTTCAATAAACTACAAATCCTTTAACTATAAAATAAATTACTTTAAATATTTTGATAGCTTTATAAAATTAAAAACTATATTATAATCCTTAAGCAAATGACTAAAGTGCCCAGGTTTCCCGAATTTTCCACCAATAGGATTACCAAATGTGATATAAGCACTGGATATCTTAGTAAAATAAAAAATTAATATATGATTAGTTAATATAAGGGGTTAACTATTAACCATATATCTTACCTAATGAAGTATGGGTGAGATTATTAAACCAAGATGATTTATATATAAAACGTGTCAACATACAATTATGAATAATATCAGGTAAATATTGATGAGGGCATGTATATTGTACTTGGTCCTTGGTCATTATTTTACATAAAATTATTGATAACAGTTTAAAGATATTTGTATTCATTTTATAAAAGCAAATGTGTTTAAAAATTCAAATTTAGTGCAATGAAAAGTAAATTTTTAATTTGTTTGAGATTTAGTATTTTAAAGTTAATTAAATTTAAAATTAATAAAAAATATTTAATGAGATATAGAAACTTTTTTTTAATATTCAGTGTTCTTGATAAATGTAAATGTAATATAAATAATGTAAATTACAAAACATAATTTAAATTGACAAAATTAATGATAATACTTAATTTAAAATATTTATTCATTTTAATAATAAATTGTTTTATGAAATTTAAATAAAAAATATAAAATATTAATTAGTAAATAAAATAAAAATATTTATTCATTATTTTAATTGTAATGAGTTTGTAAAAAAGAAACATAAAATCACCTATAATTTTTAAAATAAAATTTATCCTGATGAAAATAAATTCATTTTATGAGGATTTAAATATCACAATACTTTTAATTAAATATTTGTATTATATTATTATATTTAATAAAGCTATAGATATAGCAGTTATTTATAATTTTAATTTATTAAATGTTATTATTATAAAAATCAATAAATAATTAATAAATGTCAATTGAGTAATTTATTTTATTTAAATTTAAAAGTTATAAACATTTTATTTATATGTAAATATTGATGAGGGCACTCAGATATAATTACATTCACCTATAAATATACTAATAACGACCATGATAATTACAATTTATTTTTCAAGCTAAATTTTAAAAACATTTATTTTTAGATCATGAACACCAAAATGAAATGAAATATTAAAATAAAATATTTATAAAATTTCAAAAATGGCAATTTTTATATTAAATTAACTTGACAAAATACAGATAAAAATGATCATGATCTTTTTATAGTATATTATAACTTCAAAAAATGTTGGACAAAAAATGCAACACCAGTTCCCATACTTATGAAAGTCATTGAATATCAGGCAATACCTGTCCTATGAGGGGATATCCATATACACCTAACACCAGCCTTTCACCATAATATGAATATCCAGGTCACGCATGTCTACTGAACTCTCCATGAATTTTATGACGATTATCAGGTAAATATTGATGAGGGCATGCTTGGTGTACTTGGTCAGTTTTCATTATATAAGTTATAACTTTTGATAACATTTTAAAAATTGTTAATATTTTTTTGTAAAGCAAATGTGTTTAATAAATATGAAGAATAATTTAATTAAAAAGTGTTTTGTATAATAAAAAGATTTTTAATAAAAAAATTTGTTTTCTTTTGACAGACACCAGTCGACACTACTTCTCTCTCTCTCTCTCTCTCTCTCTCTCTCTAAACCAATTTTACTAAATTGATATTAAATTTTTTCATGGTGAATCATGTTGCATTTATCATAATAGTCTTCAAAAATAGCATACAGTCTAGTGTGAAAGCAATGCTTTATTTATGATCACTGATCAGGGATAACTTATAAAGTTGCTAAAATAATTGTTACTTGAACAAGCAAATGTTACCAATGTATTGGTGCCTGAAATCCTGTTCAAATACTAATAAAAAATAAAATATATATTATTTTGTGCAAGTATAATATTTTATGTGAAATTAATTAAAATAACTATAAATAACTTTATTCATACTAATAATTTATTAAATAGATCATTATACAAACAATTTAATCGTAAATATTGATGAGTGCATATATTATTGCATAGACTTATACAACAGACTTATACATGTACATAAAAAGTAATATTACTAAATACACACATAATAAGTTATTTAAAATAAATTCAAAATCTATTCCTGAGTAATACTTACAAACCTTCCAAACAAGGCCTATAAATAAGACAAACAAGGTTGTAATGCTTGCTGATTCGTAATTCAATTTAATAACTAATTGTATGTAAAACTTTAGTGTTTTTAGAAATATATTAAATGTAAAATTAAAATATCAATTTTATTAAAAAATATATATATTATTATTTTATGTTAACATGTGTTTTAGTAAATAATTGTTTTTCAATTTCGAAATAATGTTCACTTTCTAGTGATTATATTGTATGCCCTCATTAATATTTACAATATTTACAAATAAAAATTTTTTTTAATTAACTCCCAATTTGTTAATAATTATTAGAGTATAAAAATATTTAAAATTAATTTTATTAACTAGAAGTTTTTATTAAATTATTAATAATAATATTTGTTGGAACATGGTTAATGTTTATATCACTAAATCATAGATTAACATTCTTTGACTACAGATGGCTGTTGCTAATAACTTTAACATTTGTAATTGCTGTAGATCAAAATTATTGTTACTGTATGCCCTAAATATAAATAGCCAAATATTTATTTGAAATTATTATTTCGAAGTATTTTTAATTCAAATATAAAAATAAAAACGGTGTATTAGTTAGAATGAGTTAGATTATATGAGCTAGAAAGTTATCATTTACTTTCACAATTACAGTTTGTAAATCTTATCAATTATTTTAAATACAATTGAAATATTTGTCACTAGAGGTCGTACTTGTGTTAACAGAATATTCTGTGTATCAAAAACTATTTGTCAATAAATTCATTGAACACATGATATGTTCACAGAATTATTTAAAAACTATAGATTTGTAGATATTTTAATAAATCTCACATAAAATGTGCAAATTTTTAGATTATACTTACGTGTTAGCGGAAATTGTTGTAATCCATAGGATTTAAAACATTGAATACTACCACCCATAGTGTCCATAATTTTATAAGCAAGGTCTTAATAGAAAAATCATTGCCTATCTAATTGTCTAAAGAACTATTGTTTATACCTAAATATAAATTAGTAACAAAAAACATTAATTGGTACATTTTAATTTCATTACTTTATTAACATTTATGTTACATATAAAAAGTTTCTTATTTATATAATATTACAGGTTTTTAACGATTTAAATATCCATTACATAACTTATTTATACAGCAATATATTCATTGGATTTATACAAAAATATTTTTATTATCTGTAACACAAATTTTAAAAAATAATTATTTGTGCTTGAACATAATTCAAATAAATTAAGAATAAAATATTTAACAAATCAATTATAAAAACAATTTACAGTTTATTACTATTCATGACTTAAAAACCACAGAATATTCTGTGAGTATTAAACTTCTAAAGAATTTGTATATTATTTATTACATTATTATCATTATTAATATACTGTAGTTACCATGGTAATTTATTAGCTTAAATCTTAATCTGGTTATTAATATGTCTATCCATACGACTATTGGGTGTAATGTTGTTGAGCTCGAGCTCCTGGTGCTGGTGCTGAGGGGCCGGTATGTATTGACTGCCATCACCACCAGTTGTCATACAATTGTAATCTATTGAGCACTCGTGCAAAGGCACTGAACCGGCTGTCTGTTCGGGAACGGTAGCCAACTTGCCATACGTGGCCACCACATGACCCCCACCTCCCTGTCCGCTCTGTCGCCGCAGACTATTTGTGTTGTTTTGTATGGACTGATAGGCTATGGAGTCGTTGGCGTATGCGTTGAATAGCGTAGTGATGGGCGACGGGTGGGCCGACTGTCCACTACTACTGCGATGTTGTGCCGACTTCTTGAGCATTAGTGTCGACTCCTCCGGATGTGATCCCTGTCCACAAAAAATATGAATTAATTTTAACTTAATATTTATTAAATAAAATTTATAGTTATTTTTAATTTATTTAGCAAAATATTTTATAATTGTTCAAGGTAATTAAATATATTTGCAAAATTAATTAAATTAAAAAATTATTAGTAATGTTACGTGATCCATTATTAAATTATTTTTATGGTTAGTAAAACAAATATATTTGTGTTTGTTTTTAAGTTTACAGTTTGTAGTAATACAGTGTAATAATTTAAGTAGTCCAATATTTACGGTATTTAAAATATTTACGACTTATAAAACATTTAATTATTATAATTGTACACGCTAGTGCAATTCATGAACAAAATAAGTAGCTTGCTAATATAATTCTACAAATAATATATTTTCAATATTTAATTATGTTTATGATTATTAAAAAATGTGCTTGTTTCTTTTAAAGTTTGTATTAATACGCTAAATGTTGGTAGTTAAATATTTATTCAAAATTATAAATTTGTGAAGTTATTTATATTAAAATATAAAATTATCAAAATAACGTAATCAGTAATCATCCATATTAAAACAAATTGTTAATTTATATGAGCAAGAAAATTATCATTTACAGTTCATAAATCCCTTAAAAATATCTTAAATACAATTGAAATATTTGTCACTAGAGGTCGTACTTGTGTTAACAGAATATTCTGTGTATCAAAAACTATTTGTCAATAAATTCATTGAACACATGATGTGTTCACAGAATTACTAAAAGCTATAGATTTGTAGATATTTTAATAAATCTCACATAAAATGTGCAAATCTAGTGTATACTTATCGGAAGGGGAACTGGATGTTAGGGGAATGGGGTGTGAATGTCAGAGACAAAACACTTAATATTATACGCTTTACTGCACATACAGTTTGTAAAGTATATGAAATATTTTTATGAAGTACTGCTCGCTATCACTCCCTTTCCCTTTCGTACAAAACATATAAAAACTTATTTATAATGATTTCTTTGAACACATTTTGTTGACTCATATGTTGTATAATAATAAGGAGAGAGAGAGAGAGAGAGAGAGAGAGAGAGAGAGAGAGAGTCGTAAGGCGTTAAGTGGATGTGCCATTAGATTAAGCCATTATTGAACATCCCTTTCCATCCCTTTCCCCACATTATACAGTATACCACCATCTCATTAACTATCAATACATACGACTAGGTCAATAATAAAATATACAGAGTATCCTACATTTTAATTATTTAATTAACCATGTAGTTTTTTCCTAATAACAATATTAATGTACTGTATAATGCAATAACTGGTTTATTTATAGTGAATGTGTATTATTTCTAGAGTTGAATGTAGTGTAGTATAGAATAGCGTGAAAATGTAATGCATATTAAGATTATACACGGAATTAAGTGTCGGAGTGGAGGGTATGTATGAAATGTTGTGCGAATAATGTATAGGGAAAGGGATGTATATCTTATGGTAATATTGTTTAACTTAAGAAAATTGATTGCTTTAAATAAATATAAGTAATGTCTGTTGTAAGAATTGTTTATAATTTTTAATTAACATTAAATCTGCTTTCTTATTTAAATTAATAAACCAGATTACCATGATATATTTAATAAAATAAATATAGGGTCATTCAAAACTATCCCATGAGTTAAATATAAAATTAAATTTATGAACAATGTACAATTTGTTATATTTTGAAATTACAGTTCATAAGTCTCTCTCTCTCTCTCTTTCTCTTTCTCTCTCTCTCTCTCTCTCTCTAACAAAAAAAATATATTCAATACTCACGTCATCCGTACGGTGCGAGTGGTGTAACAGATGGTTATGTCCGGCCGACGCTATACTAATCGCCCGGTTATTATCCGCCACTTCCATGGCATCCCTGTCCCTATTCTTAGCGGCATTCCTGTCCAACTGGTAGTAAACCCCCGCGAATATCAACATATTTAGTATCAATAGCGAGCACCCGATGGCTATCGTAACGGACAGTGCGGTCGCGTAACCCGTACTGTCTGTTCCGTTGGTGGACAGGGCGGTGGCCGTGGAGTTCTTGGCACCCGTACTATCACTGGGGTGTAGGCTATCGTCGATCACAGACACACCGCCCACCGAATCGTTGGGATTATCGTCGACCAGAATATTCTTGTTGTTCAATAGGGAGGTAAGTGTCGGGCGGATACGTTTCGGGGGCGGGTATGGCGTCCCGTACGGACCTCCCGGGCCTCCTGTGGGTAAGGGTTGCAGGAATTTGAAGGCTATTTGTCGGACGACCCCGTCGTAGGTCTGGGGGTTTTCGTGGTCCTGGAGGAGGTGGTGCCTCAGGTAGACGTCCTCATCGCCCGGTTTGTGGAGGTGTGGTATGAGTTGCAGCCAAAAGGACAGTCGGTGCGAGTGGTAGTGGTCACGCACTTTCGGTTTCATACCTGTGCTCATGGGATAGTGATTTAAATTTAGGGGGTTAGATACAAATGTTTTGTAATTTGGTTATGCTAATTAAAGTTTAACAAATTAATTTTTAATTAATTAAAATAAATTTAAATTACGATACTCATTTTTGTATTATAAATAAACAATGTACTTAAAGTACCTGTTTTAATTACTTTAATAAAAAATTAATTTTATCATGCTAAGTTTAGGGAGTACGTTTTGGGAGCCAAATAGTTAATTATAAAAAATTACTGAACACCTTCATGATAAAAATAATTGCATATTACAGTTTGAAAATTAGTAATTGTTAAATTGCCTGTTATATTTAAAAATGAAATAACTAGCATAATTATACAATTAATATAAAAATATATTTAAAAATAATTTATTAAACGATAATTCTCTACCATAAATTTTATAATGAATACATTTTAATACATTAAAAATAACCAAGCTTTTCAATTTTCAATTAACATAAATAAATATAGTTTTATTTAAAATAAATTAATAATTTTATTTATTGTGCAAATTATATTCTAAGCCTACCGTACCTTATGAAAGCTAATTACATGGCTTTTTATGGTATCGTTAATATAAAGGCAAACAATAAGTGGATTACAAAGTGCTTAGACTTTTGCGACTCAGATTTTTTTATTTGTCTATGAATTGAGTGATTGAATGCAAAAATATATGTTTTGAAAAAATTATTATTTTAAATATTATACACTCTATATATTTATGAGTATAATATTGATCGTAAATCTTATAATCAAATATATTATGCTATGAATACAGTTATTTTGTTTATAGTGATCTAGCAAAATATACCTGTGAATTGTTAAAACATTATAACATTTTAAACTGTAAATATAAATATTTAATAATGTTTAGTGTTTTTAATTATTTTTTAATATTCTTGGTAGAGTTGATATTCGAAGTTGTATTTATATATTTTATCTAGGTTTTATTGTACTATATAAAGTTTTTATGTTAATATTTTTTATCAAATTTCTTAAATTGATATCAAAGTTAAGATGTTGTGATCCATAGGTTTTAACGCATTGAATACTACCACCCATTGTGTCTATAATTTTATAAGCAAGGTCTTAATAGAAAAAATCGTAGTCTATCTAATTGTGTAAAGCACTATACAGTATGTGTGAAAGTGATTGATTGGACAATTAATGATTTTATTTTGGATACACTTTATGGCAATTTTCTAACATAAAAAACTGTACACTTTTTAACGCACTTATACTACAGTATAAGTCTATTGACTGTACATAAAAAATATCCTTAAAAATGAAAACATTTTTCTATTCTACTATCGACTCATCTTTTTTTGTGACACAAAATTAGAGATAATTTTAAAATCAATATAACTCTCATCCGTACAGTCAGTATCCGTTAATATACTACTCGTTATAGAAAACCTAAGAATATTCCGAACAGAATATTCTTACGATTTTTTCGTATACATATTGTTTGCTATACTATAGGAATATAGTTAAACAGAATATTCTTACAATATAGCCAATGATATGTATACAACAAAAATCCAACAAAAAACCTAATTATTGGTTGATTACTCCCTACCCTGTAATAGATATATCCAATTGTGTATTGTATTGATAATATATAGTAAACCATTGGACAATACTATCTGTTTTTATATGTTTTTGTTTTTCAATCACTATAGAGATTAACGACTCAATCAATACTTACGTTTTTATTATAAATAGCAACAAAATAATTATTGTATATAGCTTGTTTATAAAAATAATTTTTATACATACCTATCATTAAATACTTTTTCTGTACAGTATCGTATAGTGGCCATTGGACAGAGTCAAACCTCCCTTTCCGGCTATCGGTGCCCGACTGGGTAGGGGTGTCCGAGTCGTGTTGTCCCACGTTGGGGTCACTAAAAATATTATCATAATAAAATTAATATTGCAAATTAACATAGAAATGACCCTAAACCAATATTTTAAAATATAAATTAAAATTAATCATTTAGAATTATGTTGTTATTAATTACAGGTTATATACCCATTACTTATTTGTATCATATTTTTAATTTGATACATATTTATGATCATGTTAACTTTTAAAAAATAATAGTATGAGGGTTTGTCAGAAGGGCCATGATAAATTGGTAAAAATTATAAATATATAATGGTGATAATTGTTATTTATTTTTACTGTTTTATATTTTATAATTAATTCTAGATTTATAACATAGATTATTTTTAAATAAATAATATTTATATTTATGACATATTTAATCAATAAATACACTTTGTCATGATTTTATATATTATATTAGTAAGTGTTGATTGTGTAAATATAAATAGACTTATATATCACAATATAATACCCGGTTTATATAAATATATTGTAAAGTAAATTGAAGTTAAATATATGATTATATATAGTGTGTGAGAGATATAGAGGGATAAAAAACACCTCAAAAATTGGTAGGAAATTGGATGCGATATTACATGAAAGGGGATTGTATTGTAGAGATAGGATAATAGCAAACAAAAAATGGATAAAAATTTGTTTTTACGAGAAATAAAAGGCTGAGAGAGAGAGAGAGAGAGAGAGTAAAGTGAAAATATATTTGTATTATACTCTCCGATAAAATCGATTTTCTATTGTTATCTTATTTTCCCGTTTTTTCTGTTCACTATTTTTACATTTAAACTGAGAATTCAATTGAAAAATCTTTTAACTTCTCTCTCTCTCTCTCTCTCTAATCTGCTGAGCGCTGGTATGTGTTTTCTCGCCAATACTATACTCCCTGTGCTCTCTATACTGTACACTTCAGACTCCATTCCCTCACATACTATACTATGTTATCAAAGTAGGGCTGACACACACACATACAGTACATCCACAACCCATTGTATGCAAAAGTCATGCCGTTCCCCACACACTCTCTCTAACACTATTTATCTGTCTGTCCCCTGATTTGTCTCCTGAGTCACGCATCCCTTTCCTTCCATTCCTTTTTTATGTCTTTTGATTTTTCTCTCAGTACGAAAAGCAACCAAAAAACAACATTCCCTACTCATCCAGAATTCTAGTACAGAATCCATACACTACAGGTGCTGTGCGAGGCTACCAGTGCTTACTCTACTACCCGTGCCATTCAATTGCCTAAAAACACAGATATTACAGTAATTTCACTCATTATGTATACCACATAATACAAAGGGACAGACATGTATAGAAATATACCGGTGCCCGTGATTTGTGTGTTACTACAGTATTAATATAATGTACAAAATATTCTTTGTATTTATGTTGTATTTCATGTACTAATAATTTATTGTATCGAAATATTACTCCAAATATAGCATCAGGTTAATTATATTAATGCTTTATGATTAGTATACTATTATGTTATAATAATGCATTATTATTATATAATTAATATATAGATTAATGTTAGCAAGCTGTATATATAACTATATAATTTATATAATTTTGCTAAAAATATAATAGGTCATTCACATTTTATGAGCTAAATCACATTATGTGTAGATATAACTTATATATTAATATATAGATTAATGTTAGCAAGCTGTATATATAACTATATAATTTATATAATTTTGCTAAAAATATAATAGGTCATTCACATTTTATGAGCTAAATCACATTATGTGTAGATATAACTTATATCATATAAGGCAGCTTACTACAATATTAGCAATTTTGACATTTGAATCAAATTCAATAAAGCAATATTGGCGTAAAAAGCAAAAAACAAATAGTATATAACTATAGTGTTCATAAATTAATATATAGATTAATGTTAGCAAGCTGTATATATAACTATATAATTTATATAATTTTGCTAAAAATATAATAGGTCATTCACATTTTATGAGCTAAATCACATTATGTGTAGATATAACTTATATTGCTTATATAACTTATATCATATAAGGCAGCTTACTACAATATTAGCAATTTTGACATTTGAATCAAATTCAATAAAGCAATATTGGCGTAAAAAGCAAAAAACAAATAGTATATAACTATAGTGTTCATAATATAGAGTTATGACTGTATTATACGGCATATTATGTATGATATTCAATGGCTTTCAATCAAATGTTATTGAAATGTGTAGTATTTTGTTAGTACTCCACACTCGCAGCGCATATTATATATGGGAGTATAATATCCATAAGCCGTTTAATATGAGTATAGTTGTCATCACAATTCAATATTTATTTTTATTATTGAATTTATATGCGATTTCGCAATCCCTGTACATAAGTCAAGTCTCTCTCTCTCTCTCTCTCTCCCGACTGTCAGCCAAATAGAAAAACTTTTCTTAACTTCCCTTTTATTTTCTCGTTTCCCAAAGTCCTACTATACTATCAAATATATATTATTCCTATACTTTTCCGTTTAATACAAGAAATACAAACGAAGTCAGTCGTCAACGTCTGAGAGAGAGAGAGAGAGAGACTTGACTTATGTACAGGGATTGCGAAATCGCATATAAATTCAATAATAAAAATAAATATTGAATTGTGATGACAAC